GTCACCTTCATTTTCAAAGCAAGTGGTGGCTCAGTGCCCGGATCCCTGAGGGAGGGGGCTGCGAAGGTTCCCAGTGAAATTGACTATTTTTGTGCCCCTTATCATCTTAGCGGCTGGGCAGGGCAGGCCACCAAATGGTTACTCACACCGTTTCTCAGAAAACACCACACGTAAAAAAAAAAAAAGAAGAAGAAGAAAACACCACATGTAGACTGTAGTGTTTAGCAAAAAAGCGTGAGAAGGAAGTAGGTCAGAAGTTTCCTAGGGGGTAGAAAGGAGGCAGGACACTGCACACAGAGGGTGTGTGTGTGTTTGTGCAGCCACAGGTGGGGAGTCCACCAAGGCCAACGGTGCATTTGGAGAGAAGAGAAAAGGGCAGATTGTGGGGGACTAACCCGAGGACAGGGACTTCCTATTCGTAGAGTAATGATTTGTTGAAAGATTTGATTCGAAAACTTAGCATGTCAAAAAAAAGCTTGTTTTGTTTTGTAAGGAAGATCCTGGAAAATGATTTGGAATGGGGAGTCATGTGAATGTGGTTGAGTGATTCTCTAGAACCGGAAGGAAGGCAGATCTGGGAGCGGAACAGGAATGGGTTAGACAGCGGGGAGTCCCAGGGAGAGGCCAGGAGAGGGCATGAGTCAGAGTGGAGTAGTACACTGAAACCAGGTCAGGAGTCAGGAACTAGGACACCTGCCCTTCGTCAACCTTGGAAATGACGGTGATGAAAAGACAGAAGGATAGGACAGGGCAGATTGGAGGTCTGAGCAGCCCAGGGGCGTCCTTGAAGAGCCCCAAGCCCAATGGGGTCAGCGTAGAGACAGTAGTGCTGAGGAGCTCCGGAAGGGCTCTGGGTTAGCAGGACCTGGGCTCTTGTGGAGACATTCACCTTTGGGCATAACTTGGCTCAGTGCTCATTCATACACTGAACTGGACCGGCAGTCCCCGAGAGGTGGACCGGTCAGGTGTTAATGAGTGACGCTTGCACTTGGACTTTAGCTTCCTCCTCCAACTGCTGGTGCCACTTACACAGCAGTCTGCAGGGTGCTGACCTTTGGGCTCCACTAGCTCCCTGACTCATTTCCAACCGCTGCCACGGAAGATGTTTTTGTTGACTTCGTTTCCGTGCCTGACCCTCCCACACCTGCAGACTTCCTGATTCCACTGTCCGCCCAGCCCCTTGATACTATGCCTGAAGCACTCCCCTCGCCACGTATCCCATCTGTGGCTTCGCCTGTCCTCAGAACTTACTGTTCTGTAGCCTCGCCTCTCTGTCCCTTGCCGCCGGGTTAGTGTGTTTTCGCCGAAACTTACATTTCCCGCTCCCCAGAGAGGGGGACAAAAGTACATCCCAATCCTGAGTGGCCCCTGCACCCTAACAGCTTGGCTGTGGGGAGGGAGGAGCTCAGCTCTATAGCTGATGTCCCTGTCTTCTCCCCTGGCTGCATCCCCTTCTCCTGGAACCTAGGGCTAGAGTCAGGCACAGTAGGGGGATCAGGAGGCCAAAGTATTCTGGAGGGGGTCCCAGTGGGGGTTGAAGCGGATGGAGTACATGCAGGTGTGGAAACAGGGAGAAGCCAGAAGGGGGAAGGCATCGGGCTACTAATTGCAAGGTTGGCGGTGTATACACACCAGGTGTCACACGGAAGAAAGACAGGGCGGTCTGATCCTATAAAGGTTTGCAGTCTCAGAAACCCATCCTGGCGTCTCTCGGCGCCAGAATCAACTCAGTAGTAGTCCATTTGATTTGAAATGTTGTCACCACCCGAGGAAGCTGTTAGGCATTGCGTTATGCCCCCCAAAGTATGTGTTGTAAATCCTCAACCCCATACCTGTGGAAGGAGCCCTGGCGGCACAGCAGTTCAAAGCAGCAGCGGCTCCACGGGAGAAAGACCAGGCTTTCTCCTGGACTCTGAAGCTCACAGGGTCAGTGCGCTGTCCACCAGCGGAATTCCTTCCTAGCTGTCACGGCACAGCGCAGATAGGAGGGTGTTTGGAAAAGCTCACGGGGCAAGTTCCATCATCTTTTCATCCGTCTTGCTCCACGGAGGTGGCTAGCCCTATGAAGCACTGCCCCGAGGCGGTGCCTGTGGTGCACTTGCTTGGCTGCTAACCAAAGGGTTGGAGGTTCAAGACAAACAGCCACTCGCTCATCACATCCCTTTCGCCGGTGCTGCCGGCTGCCAGCTCCCATCCACGGCAACCCCACATACGGGTCAGGGCAGAACTGTGCTCGTAGGGTTTGGGGGTAAGTAGATGGCCAGGCCTTTGTGCTGGGGTGCCTCTAGGTGGACTGGAACATTTAAGCTTGTGTTAGCAGTGAGCACATTAAGTATTTGTGCTGCCCGTGTACCCCCAAACTTTACAAGGGCCCCATTTCCCTGTGGAGTAGCAGAATACTGCAGCAGCAGGGGTAGTTGGGTTGGGTTACCAACGGGCAGTTCTCTTCACTGCAGTCTGTTACCAGGAAGCATTGTCTAGCGAGCTTCGCTGCAGTCAAGATGCCCTGGTGCCACAACGGTGAAGCACTCAGCTGCTGGGGGGAAGGTGAGCCGTTCAAAGCCAGCCCGAGCTTCCCAGAGAGAAGAAGCCTGATGAGCCGCTGCCGTAAAGATTGCAGCCTGGGAAACCCTCTGGGGCAGTTCCACACGCTTCTCTGGGTGGCCAAGCTTGGACCCCACTTGACCATACAGAAGGAGAATATCGCCATAGGACTTATACCCCAAAGCGGAGTTATTGGCTCACGACTTCAACTTGACCAGGTCAAAGTCACATTGATTTCCCAAGTGCGTGCATGCTTTTACACTCTTGTCAGCAACGCCACAGAGTCACCAAGGCCCTCCTGCCCTCCCCCCACCCATCGTTGTCTGGCTTCTCCATCTGTGCCTTCTCCTGGGTCTCCAACAGTGTCTCAGGTTGAATGTGCATTGTCATGTTGTCCCGGTGAGGCTGAGCACGAACGCCTGTGTGTGTGTGTGCGTGTGTGTACGGAGCATGCTGCTCCCCTCCTGCACGCCCGCTTCTCTTATCTCTTTGCTCTCATTTATAGGAGCTCTTTATAAATTCTGGCTCTTCTCGGTTGTAATGTAGACATTGTCCAGGGCTCCTTCTATTTGGCTCGGCCCTTCTGTGTGGGCCCGGGTGGGTCAGTACGAGAGCGTGTCCTGCCCCTTAAAACCAGGACACCACTTCTGCTCACATCCCACTGGCCAGAGCTTAGTTCTCTGGGCATCCGCAGGCGATCAGGGAGGCTGGGCCACAGCCTGTCCACATTGCTATTAACATATTTTTTAAGAAGTTGACAACTCGTGGCAACGATAAGTGTCTCAGGGTAGAAAGAGGTGATTTACCAAGGTTTACCAAGGTAAACATTGACTTATGCTATGGCTTGGTGATCCCAATTCTAGGTCTGTGTACCCCACAACGAAGGCAGGAACGTCCCGGTAGGAACCACGCTCCACGGTTCACTGTGGCATTTTTCACAATAGACAAGGGGAAGCAACTGAAATGCTGTCAACCCTCGCAGGGAAGCACAAAATGTGGTGAATAGGTGCCACGGAATATCGTGCCGCTGCCCAGAGAAATGCAGGTCACATGATGCTGGGCAAAAGGGCAAAGATCTGTGTGATCTCCTTTGTATGAAATAAGCAAACGTGTAGAAGTCAAAGATCATTAGGGTCAAGAGGGAGAGGGGAGGGGCGGGGGGAGTTTGTGATTGGGGACGTCATCGTGCTGCTGGGTCAGAAGCACCACCTGGGTGACTTTCACAAACACTTACTTGCTTACAGTTGAGGCTGGAAGTCCAAATTCAGGACTCTGGCTCCAGGGGAAGACATAACTTTGTGTCAAGGCCGGAGGAAGGCTCTGGTCTCTTTAGCTCCTGTTCCTTGCTTGGTTGGCGATCCTGTGCCAGGTACCATCCCCTCTGTTTGGGCTTCCTCATTGGCACCTAAGCTGCTTCGTGAATCCCAAAGGCGATTGGCCTTGACTTTCCCCATGTGGATCCCTGATGCCATTAACGTACAAAGACAGTCCTATGCAGGATTTCCAGCACATATTCTAGGGGCTCAATTCAATCCCCCCTAAAGAGTATTGAGTTCATGTCAATGGAAGCAGAACACATTGGGGAAGGCTAGTGATGACGGCGGTGGGCCATGAAAAATCTAATGTCATTGCATTATCAACGTGGAAACTGTGGGCCAGTGTTTTGGGGTTCAGATTTCCACCACAATTTAAAAACGATGGGGGTTAGGATAGAACGGTGCCTTATTGGCTGTTCCACAGCCATGACCTGTCTAAAGCCGATCCCTCAGCTTCTGAGGGTCTCTGGTGGGTTTGAACTGCCAGGCTTTGCCAAAGGTTGGCAGTTGAAATGCCTAGCCACTTCCACAACATTACCCAAATAAGCATGAGGGACGACTAGATTAGGGACTGCTGATGGAGTCAAAATCTTGAAAGGGTTTAGAAGACGAGGCTATGGGGAAGATAATGCATTGCACATTATAACTGACCCCCCCTGTACCCCCAGGAAACCTTTCTCTGACCAAGGCGAACAGTCATTTTGAGGGACTCTGAATTATATCATGATCTGCCAGGCATGCTTTTGTTCTTGTTTGAGAAGTGCATTTGTCACCATCAAAGAAAATATAAAGAGGGATGAAGAGAAAATGAGATGGCTCTGGAGTAGATACTGAAAATGAAGTTCACGGTGTACTTGTTAAAAAGCCAGAAAAAAAGAGGCCATGTTCATTAATTTTAAAGCATTTATTTTGCAGAGCATGGAATCCTAATGACTAGAGAGTGTCCTGAAATAGAGCCTTAACGTTTGTGGTAGTCAAATTCACATTCATCTGAAGCTCAAGTGTGCACATTAAATGATGTGGTTTTTAAGATGCCAGACCTGAGAACTTTGTGGATTTGAGTTATGTTGGGGTCTTCTCCTATCTCGCTGCCCCCCTGCCTTGTGCATGAGCTAACAGCTGCATCTCCGACTTCTCCAGGTACGGTGTGAGCCCTGAGAACATCATCCTGTATGGCCAGAGCATCGGGACGGTCCCCACGGTGGACCTGGCCTCTCGGTACGAGTGCGCGGCCGTCATTCTCCATTCCCCTCTGATGTCTGGTCTGCGGGTGGCCTTTCCCGACACCAGGAAGACATACTGCTTTGATGCTTTCCCCAGGTGAGTTCACACTCTTAAACCAAGTGCCCAGCGGCCGTTAAAGCAACAAATCCTGTTACAGAGTGGAGACCTGATGCTGCCATCAACTCCATGCCACTAGTAAATATGGGCTGAATGCAGCTGTGCACCTGGCTCTGTGCTAGGCACCATGACAGGGGAGGTGGAAGTGAACTTGATGACTAACCTTATCCCCTGGGCCTAGCTCATGGTCAAAAGCATCCCAGTGATGCCTGAGGATCTTATGCCGGTACCCTAGGAGTGGTTGGCTCAGCTGGATACAGGATATTAGGCATTCACATAGCCTCAGTATATGTTCATACATTTAGGTGGACATGCCCCACTGAGCCACGAGGCACTAACATGGAAGATGCTGAAGGTGTGAGGAGGCAGCTTGCAGTGCTGTAGAACCCCAAACACCAAACCAGCCGCTGCTGACTAGATTCCTTCTCACAGGGCAGAGGAGAACTGGCCCAGAGGGTTTCCAAGGCTCTGGGTTGCTGACCATGTTGCCGTGTTTGAGGTGGAGCCTGACCCAGCCAACTGGCTTCCCACCCAACAGTCCACGTGTGAATGGTTTCTGGGCCGTTGGCTGCCATCCCTGAAATGCGGTCATCCCTCTCCTGCCCTGTGTGCTAGTCCCGCACTGCCTTCCCCGGGCACCAAGATTGGAATCCTTGCAGAAGCTGACAGGCCACATCGTTCCCCGCCGGATTGCTGGTGGGTTCGAACCTCTGAATTTCAGGTGAGCAGCTGAGCTCCTCACCCTGGGTTCCTTTAAACCAAATTCTCTGCCATCACGTTGGTTTCAACTCACAGCGACCCGCAGGGCAGGGTAGAACTGCTCCTGTGGGTTTCGGAGACTCACTCTGCCCAGGAGAAGAAAGCCTCGTCTTCCTCCCTCAGCGTGGCTGGTGGTGCCCACGTACTGACCAAGGCTGAATGTGGACAGCACTGCTCACGGGCGCCACGAGCGGAGACATGGACACTCGGATAAAAACGAGTCTCCACGATCACACGTGTTTTCAATAATGGAGAAAGTGCCATGCTCGGCCAATCTCTGTAAGTGAAACTGAGAAGGTGGGGTCGGCCACCGTGGACGTAAGTGTGCTACGGAGAGTCAGTGTAAGTGAGCAAACCTCTCTGAAGGCCCAGATCTCCGAGAGTGGCTTACTGCACGCCACTCTCCTCGTGAGCGCTTCCAGGAAAGCAGTCCGCGTTACCTCCGGTCCGCCCACCCTGCCACTGCCAGCCATGAAGGAAGGCAGCCCCGCACACTGGTTCCTTGAACACCTCTGCAGGACAAATTCTGCTTTAAAAGAAAGCACCCTGAGGTGGAGATAAACACGGCCCTGAGTATGAAGTACAACCCCCTCAGCGTTTGCCAAATCCACTGTGAGAGCAAGACTGACCAGCTCTTATTGCCACTTAAAAATGAGGGTTTTTTAAAGTGGGGTTTTGATTGACCCATGAATTGCTGGCATTCTTTATGACTTGCTTTGAAAGAGAAATACATACATGAGAATAGCATCGTTTGGTTGTGTGAGAGTCTGCTACCCAGACTGCCTCATTTCACAGGAAGAAACATTGTTAGCCCCTTTGAGAAGTCCACCACCAGGACTCCGCTTCCACTCATAGTGGACACCTGTGGTGAACTTGGTATCCGCGCTCAGTCTGCCGGGATCCAATGAAGCTCTGCGTCCTGGGAACGCAGCGCTGCGAATGCCTGTGCGTGGGTAGGAATGCTAAGTGGGGCTAATCTGGGGCACAACTGTGCCTTATTTGTGGTGCATTGGTAATGAGAGGCCAGTTTGTGGAAATACAGATATTTAGCATATCTGTGGGAAGAAATGCCAGGAGTTACCCAGGCAACAAAATGAGTTTTTTAAAAAAAGGCTGTTTTTTCCCACCACCACCCCTCCCCATCCCCCAACTCTTACACCGTAAAATACAGTTATTATAACTGGTTTCACATTATGAATCAATAATCTGATGGGAGCCTCGGTGCTCTAGTTAGGAGCTCCGGTGGTTACCCGTTGATCTGCTGATCACAGTGTTGGCAGTTCAAACCTACTAGCCACTTTGAGGGGAGAAAGGAGAGGCTTCCTACTTATGTAAAGATTTATAGCCCAGAAACTGGCAAGAGCTGTCCTGTAGGGTCGCTATGAGCCAAAATAAACTTGATGGCAGTCCAGTGGGTTTTGGGGCTGAGCAACTAATCCTTACCTGATGAACCACACCTTGGGCTAGATGTTTGCGTTGTTATCCCACCTCATCCTACCAACAGTCTGAAAAACCATTGGTCCAGAGTGTACTCCTATTATTGTTAGGAAACCGAGGCTTGGTAGGAGGGTAAGTAATTGGCTAAATGAAGGTTGATGAGTCTAGGCAACAGATCCCTCGTGGCACAGTGAGTTAAGCATTGGGCTGCCAACGCGCAGAGCCTCAGCTGCTCCAAGGTAGGAAGATGAGCTGTCTTTGCCTTTGAACATGTACCGTTCCAGATTCGGAACAGGGTCACTGTGAATCTTAATTGACTTGATGGCGGTGGGTTTGATTTGGGGAGTAGAGGTAATAGTAAATCAATACATAAATGCTCTTGTTCCTATTCAATGCGGTAACTTCAGACTGTCACTGATTTCAAACCGTGAAGGCTCACACTGACTTTCATCCTTAATGGAACTTGGTGATTATTATCCGTTGGTGGCCTGGGCCACCTTGCCTCTGTGTGAGTCCACTTCGTTCAAGGAAGCTCCTGTCCTATCTCCCTTGAATCTTGAAAAGAAAAGAAGAAGAGAAATTCTGACCACCGTTTGGACGGCAGTCTGTTTCCCTTCCCACTTAGGAGCAGGGCAGAGCGTTTAACTTCAGCTCCGGCACAGGCAGCCACCGAAACCCACACCCAGCCCACGGCCGTGCAGGCAGTTCTGCTCACAGCAGCCCTCCGTGAATCTCTGTGGGACTGGGCAGCTGCTGCTTCCTCTGCAGAGCGGCGAGCGGGTTCGGAGTGCAGTAAACGTTGTTGGTATTGTTGGGCACCACTGAGTCTATTCCAGCCGTTGTGAGCCTGTAGACAGAGCAGAACTGCTCCCTGGCGTGTTCCAGACCATCGGTCTTGACAGGGACGTACAGCTGTACCTTTCTCCTGACCACAGACCTTGAGGGTAGTAGCCCCACCCCTAACCCACAGCGCCACCAGGAGGTAAACGCCAACTCTGGACTCACTGCCACTGAGTTAATGCTGACTGACTGTTCACGGGAGTAGAAAGTGGTTTCGAACTGTCCACCATGCGGATCGCAGCCTGACGCGTAACCACTGCGCCACCAGGGCTCCTGTACCGGGAAGTAAAGACTTTCCTAAATTGGGCAGTGTTCTGGGCAGTTCCAGGCCCATTGTAAGCAAGTCGATGTAGAGCCTGCTGGGATTCCTGGCTCACCCATGTGTGTCAGAGTAGAGCTGTTCCCTGGGCTTCCCTGGCTCCTCCCACAGGGAGATGCCAGGCCTTTCTCCTGTGCTACATCTGGATGGAGCCAAGCCTCCAACCTTGAGGTTAATAGCCAAACACATTAGCCATTTGCACCACCCCAGGGGCACTCGGTGTGGTGGCTACACGTTGGGCTGTGATCCGCAAGGCCAGCTGTTGGAAACCACGGGAATAAAACCACTTTCTATCACATAAAGATTATGCCTAGTGAATAACCAGTTAGGCACTGAGGCTCTGCTTCCTCGGGGTCACAGGCTCAAAAGCACGATGGAGCCCTGTCACTGCCCGCCTGGCGTGGCCATGAAGCAGAAGGCACCGGGCTGCAGCCAGTGACGGCGCTGCTGTTTACAAACCAAGACTCCACAGACGGGGCGAGCGAGTGCCATGCTGTACAGTTGACAGGGACCCACA